TGCACAGAGATCCAATATCGCTAACAATGTACTTGACACACTCTCCACTTAGGCATTACAACAAATTCAATTCAGATTTACCACAACAAATAGAGAAGTATACTACCCTTAGCATGAGCAGCAACTGGTCAAAATTTTAAAAATTCAAAATTAATAAATAACAATCCAATGATTGATCTCAAGTTGATTTTTCACTCTTGCCATGCGGGAAGATACATTTTAAAAACTCCAATTGACAGAAATACTGCCACTTATTGGCACAGAGAGAAATGACGACTTTAAACTTATGCAATTTTAATTAGTCAGGTAGCAAAAAACCTCTAAACTTATAGAGAATATTTGATCATTACAACAGTAGAACTAAGAAATTCCACAAACCTTGAAGATTTCTAATACTTGCTTGATAAAGCAAGTACCATGAAATAGAACATGAGGATGATGCAGGACTAGTGTTAAACTAATTTTTCCTGTGTATAGCTTAGAAATAGAAGAAGACAAGAAAAAGAAGAACAGAGATAGGTTAAAGAAAATTGGGAATCAAACTGGAGAAATACCTCAATCTTCCTCTCAAGTTTGTTGAGTACACTGTTCCTTTCCAGATATTCCACTGCATAGGGGTTCAAATCATTAGCATATACACGTTTGACTACCTTAGCTGCAGATATAGCAATTGGACCAACCCCAGAGAAAACATCACCTGTCAATTACAAAAAGAGCAAATCAGAGAAATTAATGCATTAGCCTTTGGTATTTTGCATAACATTTTGACGAGCTTTAACAAGTTACACGACAAGAAAATATCAGCCAAACAAGATCTGCAGGGAAAAGAAATAAGTCACCTATATGACCCTTACCAAGGTTTACCGCAACCAGTACAACAGAAACAAATCTGTAAACATAGGCCTGAAAATGGTGTTAAATCCAATAGTATCTCCTATAAGTCAGAATAAAAATATCTTCTCTTGTGTGGAAGACTGCCTTACTGTGAACTTAAAAAGTTTATCTTCCAACCTAAATTTAATAGCTCTAGATGTTTATATCATGATGAGAGCGCCAGAATTCAACAGACAATTGAGGGACCCAAGTGGGAAAATCACACATTTTTTATAAGGTGCATCAAAGAAGGAAGCAAAAATCATCAGACATGTAATTATATAATTTCTAGCATGTCTGTTGTATTTTATGGTGTATGCTGTATTTTAGATGTGGACTTTATGTGGGCTAGGAAGGATATGGAAGTGGATATTTATGTAATCCTTGGTAGTAGAGTAGGAAAAAGATAGGGAGAAAGTGCAGCAGTAACTGTTCTGGAAATAACCACCAGAACAACTAATCCTCATCCTTCTAGTGTAAATCCACTTGTTGTCTCTGAAATGGATATGCATGAAAATTTTGGCAAGTGTGAGTACTTTCGTAATCAAGAAATCACAGGATTTTCTCGTAACAAGCCCTTAATAATTTACAAAGATAGGTAAAGGAAGAAAAGACAGAAAAAACTCTAAAGATTCTGCAGGTTTCGATGTAAGTTGACCCATAACGAGATCCTAGAAGTCAGGACCATAACAGCAATTCAAAACTAGAAATATGAAGCTTTATAAAAGCCCAAAAGGAGTAAGCAGCATGGTATATGCATGATATAACCCGAAGTGAGATAATTTTGCAAACATACAGACAACATCAGTGCGATTGAAGCAATTCAGAAGTCTTTGTCTTTCAGTTGCTAGCCTTGAATTCCAATACCTGTATGCAAGAGATGGATACATATGAATTATATTTTCAAGTTGATTGGTTCCTGATGGAATCAGATACAAAATCGCTGCTGACTGTTGGGTGATAAAACAGCAAAACTATGCTTTCTTCACTATGATCTAACAAGCATGCTTGGTAGTATATGTAAATGTTATCAGAAACAAAGAGAACATAGAACATGAATTTGTTCAACTATGTACATGCACTAAGACCTCTGAGTAACTAAAACTATTTTGCTAACTATAGGTAACAAAAAAAAATCAAGCTAAATGTTTATTTAGCTTGAAAAGATAAGAGAAACACACACTGTAGCTAGATCCACATGAAACCTCAGTCCATTCTCGACAACTGTAGTCACAAGGGAATGATTTCCTGCCAAAACCTCAAGTTGCATGGTTCTGTAGTCATTGTGAATGGCATCAATCTTATTGACAACTGTTTTTATCTTTGGCCTATTTTTATCAAGAACAACCTGTAAAGAAAAATAGCTTTTTCTGTTAAATAGCAGCTTATCACCCGAATTAGAAATTTTGCAACAGATTCTGGTGATAACAAATCAAATTAACTTCTGGGAATAAGTACCTTTGCTATAAGTTTCTTGTATGGTAGATGTTCATCTCTCAGGTTAAGATGTGCAATATGCCCAACCATTTCAAAGGCTGAAGGGATGATCATACCCTTTGGCAGCAAAGCCTCCAAGATCTGCGAGCAAATAAATTATCCATTGTAGTAAGAAAAAATATCGAGTATGAGAAAATGGGGAAGAAAAAAACCAAATTTTTGAGTGCTGGTACCATCTATGAACTGTTAGAGAACCAGAGAACCTTGGATAATCTCCTAGAGTATTGAAGAAATAAAATAAATAAAACCGCATTTTGACCAAGGCCATGGAAAAAAAAAAGCAAAGGAATCTACAAACCATTTGATGAAGAAAACTGAAAAACATTATTTCTCTGAAATCAAATACCTCATTCATCTGCCAATACTCATAAAACAAAGTCAGCTTGCATCTCACTAGCTCAATATTTGAGGTTGTACTTTCATTGGTCTCTTCCCTGAATACAGCCTGAAAATAGGACCAGAATATCATATGTAGGCTTCATCTGGAAAAACTAACGATAAAATTTCATTTCAACTGAACTAAACTGAACCACAAAAGCATACATAATTCATTTATACGTTTGAAATAAATCTTGAGATTTTTAAATACTTTGTATTATTAATTGAATTGCTAAATTTGAAGAGAAGCAAAAAAAAAAAAAAAGGCTTATTGTAAATAATGGAAAACACATGCCAATACTAATGGAAACAAAATGGCAACCTTCATCTAGGAGAACAATCAGCCCAATCCTTTGTTTGTGATCCATTGCAAAAATGAAGAAGGGCCTTCAAGAACATCTTTTAATATATGAATAATCGATTGGTTTATTTTCTATTAACTTAAGTTTATAGAACAGTTGACTATAGTCAATTATTCTACACGGTAATAGAAACAGGAGTCTAGTGTTTGGATATTAACTATTGTTCTGTTCTTTTAAGAAGATATTATTATCTCATTTTTATTGATTAATTTCAGCACAAGCTATCGATGATTTCTCTTTGATCTACGCTTTCAACCTATCCAAATTGCAATAATAGATCGTTCTAAGATGTAAATAAACATTTGATTCTTCGATACAAAATTGAATACGCAAATCATTTCATTAAATTAACTACTAACTTTCTAACTTCAAAAAATACCTATTCAATCCTATACTTACCCTTTAATAATAATATAAAAGCCTGCATTCAAATAGTGCATCCTCACCTACTGTAAAGATAACAGAAATCAAAATCCAATTCAACTCACAACAGCAACAGAAAAACACTGGTTTTGTTCCATTTATGGTTGCTAAATTCAAAATTTAACTCACAAGAACAGAAAATAGCTGCAAATATCCACCACCTTGATAGCCTCAGGCAGCTCCTCCAAACCCTTGTTGGCAAATCTCTCATCCAAAAGCAACAACCTTGTGGAACCCTTCCATTTTCTCCTCCCCCTAAAACCTTCCCCCAACAATCCCCTCAGTTCATCTCCTTCCTCCTCCACAACCTCTACCACTGCAAAATTATTCTTCCCTTTCCCCTTCTCCTCCTTCACCTCCTCCTCTCCTCCGCCTTTCCCTTCCTTCCTCCTCCTCCTCCTCCTCCTCGGCCTTGAAATCTTAGCCAAATTTCTAAACCTCATATATCCCCTCGAGTTAAACGTCTTCGCCAGCTTCTCCCGGTACAAAACCGGACTCAGTTTCTCCCCATCTCCCTCTGCTCTCCCGTATATTCGCCGGTTCAACGAATCAACATTGTCCACCACTTCACTTTTGCGGCCCAGGAAATTAATTATATCATCGTCAATTTCATCGCCAGGAACTCTGGCTATATTCCGAATTCTCGGCCAATTGAGTAGATGCCCGCGAAGGCGGCTCTCAAGGGCGAAACAGTCTTTTGCCGGTACACGAAGGGCGTCTACATCGAAGATTCTAGTGAATTGCTCCTCCGCAAGAACGTCTTCCTCGTCCTCCTCTTCACCTTCCCGTTCCTCTTCTTGTTGCTGGATTCGTTGGAAATCGGCCATGGCGATCTGTTGGGAATGGTTTTGTGAGCCACCATGAAATGGGACTTTGCCTTTGTGGAGAGAAGGGCCGTAAGGGATGCAATTGGCGGCGTTGTTTGCGGAGGAGAGAAATAGAATGGCAGATTTTGGTAGCGAAGAGGGTTTGAGGAAGAAGCGAATTGGAGAGGAGAATATAGAGAAAGGAAGGTAGGAGGGTCGTAAGCAGGATCTGGTTACCATTGAAATTGCAGGCGGTGGAGAGTTGGTAAATGGATGAAGGGGTTCAAGAGGGTTTTACGGCCCATTATTTTTATTACCAAAATTCGGTTCCCGCTTTATTTTAATTTTCCAAACAAAATTTATTTTTTATCTCAATTTTATTTTATTTAATTATAATATAAATTAAATATGTAATAGTATTTTGTATTTAATTATTACATAACATTAATAATAATAATTTAAGAAATACACATCATCATTTGAATGGTTATTTCAATTCTAATTTGAATTTAAAATTATATATAACAATTTATTTTCGTTGGTTCAGAAAATAAATTAACAAAGAATTGAAAATATATATATTTTGTATGTAATAGAGATAATAGAAAAATGAAACTGTAATTCCACCAAATAACAAATTATTTTATTACAACAAAATACATTAAAAAAATTGAATAACACAAAAATTGAAACTCACTATTCAACAAGAACAAATTTTTACTATCAAATTATGAATTTCGTTTCTATATTCATAGTTTGAATGTGAAATATTTACAAACTTATAAATTGTAGGAAAATGTATACAGACTTATTACTCTCCGCTCTGTAAAATTCCTTTTTCAATGGGCATCAGAAGCCCGTGAATGACAGAAATGCATGGGGTTAGAAAGCCTGAGAAACTTCGAAAACTCAGACCAAAGCAAAGAAGATGATGATAAATGATCATCCCTGTCAAATTTTTCTCTATTTTTAACCTTACCATTTTCAATTTTTACTATTCAATGGAAACTGTTATCAATCTCAATCAACATACCCGCCATCGTATACTTCAGGAAGAAAAAAAAAAAAACATGGTGAAAAACAGAGCACCCGAAAGACCCTAAACCATCTTACGAAATCCTTGACACTACAACAATGGCTTCTTCGTGATCATTGATTTCCTTCAACATTTTTATTATTTTTAGCTACCTATTTCAATGGATTGAAATTATTGCAGATTGGGAGAATTGCGGTTTCTTCTGAAGTTATCGTTGTTTCTTCTTCTGCTCCTCCACGCCCATCAGAGGCGGAGGCGGAGGCGACAATCCAGCCGGATTTCCTTTCGACTCAGTTCCACTGCATTTACTCAACTGCGGCACCAAAAAAAGCAACGTTGAAGTGCACAGAATGGCAAATACTTTTCCCCAGAGGATAAGAACCAGGAGGCTGACGAGAACCAGACAGAAGCGATTACTGTGATCAAATTCCCCGCTAGTTCTCTTCTTCTGCGATGTTTCTTGCCTCTGCAGAGCCCTGTTTTGGTCCGGTAATCTCGAGGTTGATGAAAATGAAGACGACCCAGACGAGGATGAGGTGTTTGCAGAAGAATCTTCTAACGATGAAGAAACTTCAGTGTTGGTTATTCTACTTTCGTTGCCGGAAAATCCGTCCCGCGTTGAGTTTTCGCTCGAGGGGTTTTCGGATTTTGACTTTTGCCGCTTGTCCTTTTGCCCAACTTTTCTTCTGATCTTCTTCGCCTGTTAACAACATCAGTGAGGAATCAGAACCGAACGTCAGAAATTTGACACAGAGAATTAGAAAGTGAAAGAGAAAAAAGAAAAGTTGACGAAGATCGCAACAGAATGGGTTGAAAGTTGAAATACGATTATCGAGAACAAAAAAAAAAAAGGTACGGCCGAGAGGCTTCTTGAATTGGTCAACGGAAAAATAGAGAAGATAGAACCAGAAAAAAAGAAGGATCCCAAACAAAACTGCCCACGATTTTTTTAAAGAAAAAAGAGTTTCCTGAAAGATTAAAATTGAAATTCAAAGGATCAGAAATGGAAATGGAGAATCAAGAACATTGGAGTACGACGATGAACGTGACGCCTCTGTTACAAAGCAAACAGAGAGAAATAGAACAAGAGCGGCATTAGTGCATGTTGTCATTTTCAGACAAAAATAATGGAAAGAAAGACGAAAATATATATAGATAAATATATGTATGTATATCATGATTCTAACCAGCGAAGTCTCAAAAAAAACTGCTCTGAAAACCCGCGAAAATCTCCGGTGACCACTTTTCTTTTTCCTGCGAACCTCACCGCCTTTCTCATCAGATAAACTCAAACTAGATGGGATCCTCCGACACACCGCACCTTCCTTGCGTCCCGACGGGACAACGTACGAGAACACCGGTTCGTCACCCTTCAAACACCGGTCCGGTCCAACCGCATCGTTTTCATCCATATCTTCCGATCTAAAACACAAGAAAAATCTTCTCCCACTGAAAGAACCACTACTCCGACTCCTCTTCAACCCGTTGCCGTCAACGTCTTTCGTTACCGTTGCTAACGCTGTCGTCAATGCGGGATCGACGACGAAATGCGGGGCTTTTGTAGCCATCGCCGGCCTATTTCCTTTCCCTTTTTTGTCCGGCTGGGAGCTTCTGCGAAGATATAGGGAGTGTTTGGGACCGGAGAAAATTGTGGGAGCATCAGAGGAAGTGAAATAAGAAAATTTGTGGGCTTGTTGTGTCCTTTCGCTTCCTCTTCTTTTTTCCTACTTTCTTGTGTTGAGTATTTATGGAGGGTGGTTTCGTCTTCACGACGATCCCGCTACTTTGTATACTCCGTTCAAAAAATTAACAGGATTAAACACAACTGGAAAGTGGATTTATTAATTAAATTAAATCCTAATTAAAGGATTTAAATGTAATTAACAGCATAGTGCGTATTTAGGATTAGTTTATTTTCCTCGTGTTTTTACTGCTGTCAAAACTATTTTTACTGGTTTTTATTACATAAATAATTTATTTACCGAACAGTTAATTATATAACTCCCTGTTTTTACCCTCTTCATCCTCTAAAATATGTTACAATATCTTTTCCAAAAACTCGGTGGATATTGCTATTTTAGGAAGCTTATAATACTAATTCTTACATTATCACTTTTTTAAAACGTGTTATTTTTTAAATATTAACCCTGAATTATTTTTTAAAAATAGATCATTAATAAAATAAATAATATTTTATTGATTTTTAACCATGTTTCGTGTTACTAATTACGTAATTTTTTATTTTACATATATTTAATATATTTTTAATAAAATTAATAATATATATATAAGGCAAAAGTACAATAATTTGCTATATATAATTTTGTTTATCTTTAAATGCCAAGTAGTTTATGTAAAATATAAAAAAAAATTTAAGGGTAAAATATATTTTTAAAAATAATATTTAAAAAACTCTACAATAAAATATACATATTTATAAATTATTTTATTATTTTCGTTCTTATAATTCAATTTTTAACGTAAAAATTTATTTATTCAAATTAATTAATGAACTTGAATAGGTAAACTACGAATATTGCTTCAAACAATAAAAATTTATTTCTCTCTAAAAAATAAAACTTTAAAAAAATGAAATGCATAGATTGCATATGATATTCGTGAATCATTTAACATAATATAAATATCTTATTGTTAAAGTAAAGGATATATATGAGATTAGTCTATGTAGCTTTTTTTTGACAAATATTATGCGCACCAAATGCACTATTTTGTCTCATTATTAATATTATTATTATTTTATAGTCTCACATAAATTATAATGTACATGAATATAATAATTATAAGAAAAGTGAGCAAAACTTTCTAGAGTAAAGGGAAAAATAAATCATTGATCTAATTCTATCAACAAAATTAGCATAAATTAACTCTCTCTCTCTCTCTCTCTCTCTCTCTCTCTCTCTCCCTCTCTTTTTAAAAAGTTTATATTGAGAAAATTTGTTTAATTTGTTAAAAATTAATTATTTCTAACATAATTATTTAAAATATTAATACTATTTAAAATAATATTTCTTTGTGAAAAAGTTTAATAAGATTAAAAATATAAAAAGTGATTACATCTACGGGGATTAGACCCTAGTGACCGAAAAAACTAGCCCATTTAGTTAGCTTATCAACTCGTTGGTCTTTAGCCCATGAGATCAATCCATGTTATATGCTATAAATTGAGCTCTCAAAACTTTAGTATCCAGCACCATCTTCTTAATATGTTAGTATGGAGAATTCAAGTGAAAGATTGAACAACAAATTAAGAGTCATATCTTATTTGGATTAACTGCAGCCTATTGAACCTCGTCATTCAATGATAAAAAATAATAGTTTTCTTATTCGTTATTAGAAGATACAAGGTAAATTTCATTTTACTCTATGCATAATACTTCCCTCGAAGCCAGGAATCCTCCTATAAATTAATTTTGACCCCCTGTCCACACTCTATCTAATAAATTCTTCAAATTTATGTAAACTCGTGCTAATTTTCCTTTGTATCCCCTTCTCATGCAGTCTTTTCGCAACTTTAGAAAATGAACCCCTATCTCTAGCACAAAACTTTGACTCAATCACTCTCCACCAAATAGTATAACTTTATTTCATGAACCTCTATAACTATTTCCTTTGTATGGGCATATTCATATCTATAGAAGATGTTAACACCAAGCTATCATGGGATATTGGTTTTTTTACCTCATCCTAATTTACAAAATGATATTGTAACTTGTCTCCGAATCACCTTATATGAACCTTCACTGAATCGACTATAGCTTCTTAACCACTTTTATTAGGATTGCCATAAATCCTTGTCCTCATGTCCTCCGATTCACTTGTTGCCTCCCATTACTAATGACCCTCTAGGCTCATACCTTACCTTTTAACAAACTAGTTATTGCAACAAAATCCTAATAATTCATAAGATATTGCCTATAACTTTCATGCAAATAAACACTAAAACTAAGTATGATTACAAGATTTTGCCTCCCTTTTGCATAGATAACAACCTTTTACTATCATCTTCTCTTTTTTCATCAAATTGTTAATGGCCAAAAATTATTTGTCCTCCCTACCTACATTCCACATAGTACATTCTTGAAATTTATGTCAACACATGTTAATTTTCCTCCATATCCATTTTCTCCATGGTCTTATTGTACCTCTAAAAAACTAGGTCCTATCGACAGTACCGAATTATGCCTCAATCACTCTCCAACAAAAAGTATCATTCCCTTTAGAAACCTCTATAGTTGTTCCCCTTGTATTGCCATATTTATGTAAACAAAATATGTCAATCCCATGCCAACGTGATACATCAGTTTTTTTGACCTCATCCGAATTCACCAAATGATGCTTCCTCATAACCTTCGAATCACTCTAAATGAACCTATATAAATCGATTCTAGTTTATTGGCCATTTTTACTGAGATTATCATAAGAGACATATAATGAATGGATAAGTTATTCAATGTACTTTTAATAAGCTATTTAATGTACTTTTAATAAGTGTCAATCTCTCTCATTTTGATAAAAAAGTGCCCACTAGTCTTATTTTAAACCTCCCACCACAGGATCTTACATCCTTACATCTTTATAGTTAACCTCCAAAAGTAATCCTGGATACTTAATCGGTAATTTTATCACTTTAAATGCCAACACTCTTCAAATCTTACGTCAAATCTCCCATCTCCAGTCTCACTAACTTAAACTCAGTTAAGTTGATATTAAGACTCATAATCGTCTATAAACTCAACAAAACTCGTAGAAGATTAAACATTGTCCTATCTTTTAGTTCATATAAATCTAAAGCATTCACAAATTCTTTCAGTATCAAAGTAGTAATCTATAATTAACACAACATGCATTCTTTAAAAAAATTTGTGCAGTTCAAATAACAGCAGAAACTAAAAGCAAAATAAAAAGTTGTGAAAGAAAAAACTAGACAACACCTTAGGACATGATATCAAACACCACAAAATAACATGCACAATAAATAAAAATCTATGTACTTATAGCCAACAGAGTCAGTTTCTTCAAAGACCTGTCTTCATGAATTAGCTTTATTGTTTGCTTTATATGCAAGTAAATTGGATTGCCAGTCTTCTCATAATTTCAAGTCACGTAATACTTTATAAAAGCAAGAAATGTACTATGTCTACATACGACCTACATTTAAATGGCTGACAATCATCAAAACACTAATAACAAAACATGTTTTTTTTTTCTTTACTGTTGATTTTATGTTTTTTTATGCGATCTTAAATATATCTTTTATCTTATTGCTATCTTACATTAAAAAAAAAAAACAATTATGTGACGAACATCACCTTCCATATTTTATGAAATGAAACTTGAGTTATGCTACTTCATTCTTAACCAAGTGATTAAAGTATAACTTGACTGTGAAGAAACTATTGCTCTTAAGGTTTTATAATGGTGTACCATTATTCCTTCAGATTGATGAATGAAAGTATATGTAATAAAGATTCACATTCATTAACTTCCAAATCATTGAGATTCCTCACTACATTCACAATCTACTCCATATTCATTCAATTATATCTGCACGATTGACAAATTATGATGTCAATATACCGTGATATAACATAAATTTAAGGGAATTGGTTTATAAGTACTTCCTTTTTAAGTCAAAAGTCTTGCAAAAAATTATTTGTCTCGCCAGCCTATATTCCACATAATGCATTCATGAAATTTATGTCAATGTATGTTAATTTTCCTCCGTATCCCTTTTCTGATTGATTTTGTTGTACCTCCAAAAAGCTAGCCCCTATCACCAGTATCGAGTTTTGCCTAAATCACTCTACACCTAGAAGTATCATTCTCTTTGCAAACCCTCCACAATCATTTCCCTTGCATGCCATATTTATATCACAAAAGATCTCAATTCCAAGCCACCATGATATATCAATTATTTTGATCTCATCCCAATTCATCAAATGGTACTTCCTCCTACCATCCGAATCACCCTAAATGAACCCACCTTAACTGATTTCAGTTTCTTGGCCACTTTTACTGAGATTGTCAGAAGTAACATACAATGAATGGATAGATTATTTAATATACTTTTAATAAGTGTCAATCTCTCTCATTTTAATAAAAGGTTTATCTTTTAACTCGTCAACCTTATTTCAAACATCTCCTCTACTGGATCTCACGTCCTTATATCTTTGTAATTAACCTCCAAAGGTAATCCCAAATACTTAATCGGTAATTTCATCACTTTAAATCTCAACACTCTTTCCAATTTTATGTTATATCTCTCATCTCTAGTCTCACCAGCTTAAACTCAGTTAAATTGATATTAAGACCTATGATTGTTTGGAAACTCAACAAAATGCATATGAGATTGAACATTTTCCTCTTTTCTAGTTCACATAACACTAAATGTTGCTCGCAAAAAATAGATACATTACTTTCTCTGTGCGATCATTCTCGCCCACTTTCAATCTTTTAAATAACTCTATCTCGCTTGTTTTAATAATACTTTATTCAACATCTTGCATCAAAACAATGAAAAGTATAAGAGATAATAGATCACCGTGTCCACGACCTCTGAAAAAAAAAAAACAAACTCCCATTAACCATAACTGCAAAGGATGTTGTAATCTTCCTTAATATATAATAGACAAAATTCCAATAATAAAACTTAAAGTCATGTTCTCAAAGCTACA